CTCCTCTGGACCCACTTGAGCAGGTCCATGTCTTTCTTGTGCTGGAGGCTCCAGAGCTGGACACAGCACTGCAGGTGGGGTCTCAGCAGAGCAGAGTAGAGGGGGAGAATCACCTCCCTCAACCTGCTGGCTGCGCTTCTTTTGGTGCAGCCCAGGATGCCATTGGCTTTCTGGGCTGTAAGTGCACATTGCTGGCTCAGAGTCAGTTTTTCATTCACCAATGCCCCCAAGTCCTTCTCCCCAGGGCTGCTCTCGATCCACTCATTGCCCAGCCTGTATCTGTGCTTGGGATTGCCCCAACCCAGGTGCAGGACCTTGCACTTGGCCTTGTTGAACCTCATGAGATTTGCACAAGCCCATCTCTCCAGCCTATCCTGGTCTCCCTGGATGGCCTCCCTTTCCTCCAGCGTGTTGACCTCACCACACAGCTTGGTGTTGTCAGCAAACTTGATGAGGGTGCACTCAACCCCACTGTCCATGTTGCTTACAAAGATGATAAACAGCACCGATCCAAACACCGACCCCTGAGGAATGCCACTTGCCACTTGTCTCCACTCAGACATCGAGCTGTTGACCACAACTCTTCGAGTGCAACCATCCAGCCAATTCCACCAAGTGGTCCATCCATCAAATTCATGTCTCTCCAATCGAGAGACAAGGATGTCATGTGGGACAGCATCGAATGCTTTGCACAAGTCCATGTAGATGACATCAGTTGCTCCTCCCTTATCCATCATGAGAGCATTTGTCCATGATGCAGTTCCTCTAATATCCTACCAGATTTCAGAAATAATGTGAACTATTTCACAGTTTGGCTGATTACACAGCAGAATATAAATTTAAATTACAACTTTCACATCTCAAGCCAGTAAATATGTGGATTCAGGACATTTGGGCTCCTTCAAATGCACCTTAAAATACAATACTTCCGTCTTTTCACCTAATTATTTTCTGACACTATTCCACTATTACTTCTAACATGTTTGCTATGAGTCATGCTCTTCAAGATGCTCTTTACAGAATTTTACAAGTGGTTTCATTACGCTACGCCTTGAGTTCCCACAGTTAGCTGTACAGACTAGACGACCAAGGAATCAAATTCTTAATTTAAACTCATTTAAACTTCAAAGTACCTTAATAGTAGAGTAAAGCTTGTCCATTCTTTCTATTATCCACTACATAAAATTTTACATTGCTTTACTATTACTACTGCTGAATACATCGAGCTGTTTAAACATGAGATGATCCTTCAATCTGCATGAATTCAGAGTGAAAATCCAAGCATTCCTCTACAGATAAAATCTCTTACTAACTAGCAAATTAAGACAACACAGAAAACACACATGCAGGGACTTCAATATTCTACAGCATGTACTTAACAAGATGTTCAAACTCCCCAGCCTTTGGGTACATTACTATTACATCTACTAACTGACAGAAAACCTCCACCGAAACAAACCCTTATGTCTCCAAAGAATCTAATTATACAAATGCATGCTTAAGGGGATATACCAGCTTATTATTCGTTTTAATGTAAGGAACTGATGTGTAAGCCTTACTACTATATCTCCCTATCCCACCACAGCATGCTTCTGCTTCGGCTCAGTCAATTAACAAAAGGAGAATCATGCCAAGCTCAATGCTTATCAAGCAGTGTTTGAGGCAGTTGAAAGTGAAACTATGGCAAAATTTATACAGTGTGATGACTGACACCAACCAAGAACTAGGAATTCAGAAAACTGCTGTTACAGAAAAAAATTTATTTCTTTCAACACAATTCATAAGCTCAAGATTTAATAGTCTTACTTCAGACTTTCCAGTTTGTGGTTTGTCCACCTTGAGACACATTTAGTAAGTGTGAATACACTGGATCTGTGTGCGTCCTCCCCCTTCAGAAAGCTAAAACCAACCAACTTCCCCTCTAAGCAGCTGGGAAGAATTACTTTGCTTTTCAATAAAATTAAAATACTATCAAAGTAGAATATTACCAAATATTCTAGCTACCCACAAATTTGTTCTATACATTTTAGAAACAACAACAAAAATCTATTTTTTTTTCCATGATTACTTGTGACATTTTGTAAGAAAATCCACTTCAAGTATTACAAAATTAGAGTCAAACCTATTTCAAGATACACATAAAACAGCTACCCAGTGAAGAAAAACTCGGTGTGAAAAACAGTGTTCATCAGAAGCAATCTCCTTAGACAAGTGGAAGTTTAAGGAACTAGTTACCTGACTGTCATTTTCAAGGTATGTCTATTCGATACCATACTCAAACAGCCATGAGCCACATTGCATACAGTAGTAAGAGTTCTGTCTCCATCTACTGGTTGAAAAACATTAGGTTCAATCATTCATAAGGGCTATGACCATACAAACGGTCATACTACCGATATATTATGTCTGTGACTCTTTCAACTGAACAGCCTGTTTGATTTCATAGTATTTTTCCTTTAAGATATTAAAGAACCAAAACAGCTCAAGGCTTTCAGTGTATTGGCACTGACCCCAGCAATCCTTTTTTCGTTCCAACGGCTGCACAATTAAAGTTACATAGATATTAAGTAGAGCATTATTAAAAATAAATCACAATTTACTGATATTTGGCTTTAATATGTTACAAATCACATGTAGCTAATGCACAAGTTTGCTTAAGTGACTGACTTCCAAAAAAACCAAGATCAGGTATTAAGTGTTTTAATAAGCCTTGCCTATTGAATTTAAAGTGGTTAAACCATTCGGAACATAAAACGCACCTCTGGACAAACAGGAATCTGTTCTTGCTGTACAAAAAAAGTCTTAAAAAAAAAGTCTCACTTCAGTTGTCTAAGGTATGCTTTTCAGCAACTGTAACTGCAAAATGAACAAAGTTTTCACTATATTTGTATACAAGTAATCTATAGACAAGTGTACTTGTCTGAGTACTTAACCAATTTAGCACCCCATGCATAAGCACTCTTGATATATTATTTTAAACTCTGCACAGACTGTCATATGCTATCATACGACTTGACTTCTGTCCTTCAGGCTTTCTGGTGATCCTCAATTCTTCACTAGTATAATTACATATGGTTTTCCAGTCACCCTGTAAAGTTGTTTGATTTTGATTGTTGGTTTGTTGGCTTTTTTTTTTTTAAACCAACAGGAATTAAATAAATTTTTCTTGTTTAATTTTACATTTTACTGCATTTTTAATTGGTTCCTTTAGTAGAGGCTCATCCAAGTAATTCAGATTTCTCTAAACAATTACTCCTTCATAGTTAGCACAGGCAAAATTTCCAATACTGATGTCACAGATACAGTAATTTAAAGAGACGAATACACCATCATTGCAATAACACTTTAGATGGGTATTTTAGTCTTAATAAAATAATGAACTTAACCACCTGCATACATATACATTTATAAACTCTGAAGGCAACAGTATTATTTCTAGAAATGTTATTGTACTTCACTATTAAAAAATCTTTTCATTTATATAGGTTTAATGTTCAGCTAATAATGCACTCAAGAAGTGTTTTAGCACTGAGGTTACAAGTTTGAGTATTTTACAGCAACTCTTTTCTAACTGTATTATTTACTCAATATTAATACTTCGAAGTAGTTAGACAAACACTGAGGTTTGTATTAATAATATATTTCAGTTACTGAAATGGTGGTCCCGTTAAAAGTTTTGTTTAGATATCTTTTCTTTCTCCATTTTTACATCACAGATACTTGTATGGAAACTAAACTGAAGGATTTTGTTTTACATGTAGGTATTTAGCCTTGATCAAAGCCTTAATCCTTCAATGTATCCTTCATTAATGAACTGTGGCATCATTAAGTTTCTAATCTTATATGAAGCATTAACAAGAATGATCAGATTAACACATAAGGGGATATTTTCCAGTTGGCATACTAAGTAAAGATGACAGGGAAAACAAAACCCCAGCAATTTTGTCTGAAGGGCGTACTTGGCCACATAGCTACACACCAAGAATTTTCAAAACTCACAAAGCGATCTATTGGAAATATTTTCCTACAATTATGCTCAAGTTTGGCATTAAGTTTGGCTTCAGGAAGACAAGCTATTTTGATTACATGTAATATCCAGTTTGAGACTTTAAAGAGATACAGTTTACCGTACGCAGGACTTCACTGTTGTAAAACTGTGAGACATACAGACTAAATGCTGATACAATTATGTCCCAAATTAAGAACCATGAGATACAGAGAGCTGAGTTTGCCAAGACTTGATGGCATTTCATTTTTCAAATAAAAAGCCTCTACATGCACACAACACAGCACGAGACCATGCTAAGAATGAAACAAAACCAACCTTGCTGTTAGGCCCCGACGAGAGCTGTCTCAAAATAAATAAAAAAATGAGGTTTCAAATAAGTGACAACTAGAATCAGCTTTCATTAAGCTTTTATTTTTTTTTTTAGTAACAAAATCAATTATAACTGAAGTCAGTAAATGAACATATGCTAAACTGCTGTATTTTATTATGCAGAGAATCAACTTCAAGTCCAATACTAAGATACCTGGCAATGAACTTTCAGAACTCCCCAAAATTTACGTTAACCATTGCAATAAAACCTGCTTGAAGTATACACAAAAATATAGCTATGAACCTGACTGAAGCATTACTTAGAATAAAGCTAAAAAAGCTTAAGGCACTATAAACTAAGTACAGCAGGGGCTACAGTTTTTCAAAGTATCCTATTTTCACCTGGCCCGAACTGGTCCACAGGCACTTTGTGTAAAAAATGTTTTAGTTCTATTAAGATCACAACCTATCTGCAAAGTGATACGAAGTTACATATGAAAATATACCTACCATAAACAGCACTGAATCAATTTCATGTGTTGGTTATTAAAACTAAATGTTGGGTTTCTCCTTTGAATCATGTTGGTTAATTTAGTTATACTATTCATTTGTAATCAGTCTTTTAACTGATTACATGTAGATGTGTGAATTTGGCTGACAGCATAGAAGGAAAAGGAAAATCAGGATTTACTCACCAAGGAGGAATCCCTGTGACACCACATTCCATCCTATAAAGGAAGTGAAAGTGCTGTTCCCTTCGGTCTGATTTACAAGAAAGAAAGAAAGAGAAGGTTGTAATGTTGCTACACTATGCACTGTTATGGAAAGGAGAAAGGAGAAAGGAGTACTTGATCTGAGAGTTTACTACAGAAAATACTGAATGCACCTGCCTTTTTTCTCATCAGTAGAAAGCCACACATTGTGGTGGACAGGTGCACTACTTTCTCAATGAACTTCACTAGACAGGAAGTCTATGTATTTAACAACTATAGTTCTTAGAAAAAAAAATTAGGCTTGGGATAAGTGTGCAACAGAGGTTCATATTTATTTAATAACCTGACAATAACAAAAAAGTAACATCCATAATAAGAATGCCAGTATATTTGTTTGGTTTGGTTTGTCTGGGGTTTTTTTCCCCCCCGAGATATTTTCTTTCTACAGTTTCTTTCCTGAAGTAATGCTGTTCTGCTTATTTGCAACTGAAAAGTGTAAATTATGATTTCACAGGAGGGCAATGGGATTTTAAGAGGTGCATACAATACAACTGAAGTTAATGATGTTATTGTCAAGAGGGCCTAAATTCACTTATTTCACTAATTTCAGGGAGAAGAGCGCAGCGTAAAAGAAAAAAACAGAACACATTTATAATCTATATCTATTTCCACATGGAAGAAATGTAAAGATCTTCACATATAGGAAAATTCATAATCTACTTCTGTATTTTCTCGAGAAAACTAGAATTTAGAGATAAAGAAAAAGTCTCACTTTCCATAACAAGTGCTTACTTGTTTTGTGGACAAGATATAAAATGCCTTTAAGTGTAATTAAATTGGGAATCCCATCAGAGTTTCACTAATATACAATCTTAGCTTTCCTATCATGATGCTTTTCAAGTAATACAGAAAAGCTTTTCCACATTCCCACAAGAGCTTTTATTGGTGTGCAAGATGCTTTCAAGAAAAACAAAAAGTTAGCTCTATAAAAGTGTTTCAAAACAAGCAGCGATATTAATCTGCCCAGAATCTCTGGATCTGAGGTATTAAAAAAAATAAATAAATAAAGAGTGTCTGAATCATAAAAGGAAATCATACTTTCAACCATAGGCAGAGTTAGTTTTAGGAACCTATCATCAAGGGCTGTAATTCTGAAAACAACTCCGCCAGGTCCACTTCTCTCTCTACCTGACATTTGTTGTTCCAGCAGAGTATGTGCTTTTACGTTGTCATAAGAATATTTTAATAAAATGAGAGTAGTTTACAAGATTCAAAAGAGAATAATCTGGGAAACCTCCTTCCATGACTTCGAACAAAATACACCAGGGCTGATTTTTTTTTTTGTAATTTCAGAAGATGTAATTTAATTTTGTGAAGTGTCTGTTAATTTTTTTAAGAGCATCCTGCTATTTACAGCGCATAGCAGCAATGAGGTTGCACTTGCCAAAACCACCACAATCTGATGATTCAGCCTCTGCCAGTTTGACCACAGCAATTTAACTAGCAGTTTAGTTTACTTAATGACAGAATCTCAGATTCTTCTGACTAAAGTTTTTCAAGTTTTAGAGTCTCTCTCTGTAAAATAGTTATGTTAACACCAATATAGCTCTGACAAATATACAGAACTAAACTTACTCAAAAGGAAAGATTAAATGATGAGGAATGATAATTTATCAGTCAAACTGAAGCACTTACAATGTCTAGGCAGAAAAAGAGGAAATAAATTTTTGTGAGATACATTTCTCTGTTCCCTTTCAGAGCTCCGTAAAACAGAATATTAAAACATGTGGAAGGGGCTATAAAGCACTCCCCCTACATTTAAGCACTGCACACAGTACCACAGTCAGGAATTAGCCCATTTCACATATAATGTGGGTTTATTGTTTTAAAGAAATAATGGGTAATATAACCTTTTTCTACACTAAAAGGAGCAGAAAGAGTTATGAGGAAATAAATGAACTAAAGAGTAAACTGGAAGGGAGATGGAACACCCACTATTCAATCACTTCACTGAGATGTTGAGAAAAAAGTCAAGATGAAGGGAGGAGCACTTTTATTTACTACACAGAATGGAATATGATGTGACAGGTTCAAATAACAACTAGTCATGTCTCAACACTTACTTGACATTTGGGAAGAAAAGCAAGCTAAAAGATAAGTAGCCACCTGCTTTGTAAGTACCTTTTGTAACTACATGTGTTCTACCTACTGAACTCTATTTTGGTACAAACACATAAAAATATATTTCCTGAGCTAGAAGAAAATCCAAAATCTTTTTTTGCCACAACAAATCAAACATAACTAGAACAACTAAAAAACCTGCAAAATCAAAGTGCAGGCTCAGAATATTTCAAAGTAAGAATCTGAATTACATCTGAAAAAGTTCCATTACATACTATAAACATAAATTGTGAACCTTTCAGTAAAAAGCCACCAACTTCAAAACATTAATGAATTACACAAAGGGTCAAGCAGTGAACAAGAGATTCTAGGGAAATAAATTCCATAAACATTTGAGGAAACTCTGACAAAAGAAATTGCTTCAGGAGTTGTCATAGAAACAAGCCGCCTTCACTCAAGATAATCTCTGTTTCACTGCATCTTACCTGATAACACTTTCAAGTGACCACAATCAAGCTGAATAGATTAAACTTGATTCTATCCTGCCCCACACACTAAAAAAATTGTCAAGCAGCAGACTAAGTTTTAACATTGCAGGTGCATGTACGTATATATACACACACACACAAAGAGACGTGTGAGTGTATATGGTATTTTCAATGTCGCTTTCTTCAGTATATTGAACAACACTCAAAACCAGCAACTGGTCTTTCAAATTTTTAATTGTATTTTCAAAAGAGCAGAAAACTTGTTTGTCAAAAGCAAAGCTGAGTTTATAAACAAGGAAAAACACTTTTTAAACAGAAAAAAGTAGTAAGATCCAAACGATAGGTTAAAATCCATCATATTTACTTGAATTTTAATAGTTTTAGCAATAGCATCCATACAGATACTTACAATGGGCACATAATTTGACTTATCAGGCTAAAACTAAATAAATCTTTTTTTTTTTTCAACACCGCTAATAATAATGAAAGTCTGATTCAGCTCAAAATTAACAGAATAAAATATTAGAGACTGCCACCTAGTGCCAATGTTAAGCATCACCAAAGTACAAACATTGCAACTTAAGACTATACTTTAAAATATTATTTCTTATGCAACTAGCCTAACATTTGCTTTAATCAGAACATACCTGCTAAACTATGCATCTAAAAGCACTTCACAAATAATGCAAACACAAGCAACTCAATCTAAAAAAAACAACCAAATAAACAACAGCTACCATAACATGTTTGGGGAAATCCAGAATGAAAACCCTGAAGATCTTAGTTATTCAAGCAAAAATTAAAACATCAATATAAATATTCCTTTTCTTTTAGGCTACATTTAAGGCTTACATAATCAGCTTTACTGTGAAGTAGCAACATTTATGAAGGAAATTAATTTTATCCAATTTTTGATGCCTGCGCCAGAAAGGCAAGCCAAAAAATCCTATGTATTAGCAACTTTGCCTCAGTATTGATCTGAACAAAAAAGCAAGCGGTTAAGATCTAAGATTTCCTAATATTATTCTGATTAGTTAGTCCCATCCAATTATTCTCTAAGATTCTTTGAAGGAAAGACTATACAAGGATCCTTTAGGCAAAGTTTACCACGGAAATAAGGAAAACTTTTGTTGTATTAAAAAAAAAATAAAAAAAAATCAAACTTGTTTCAGTATCAAGAGACATGAGATAAGTCATTAACTCAAGTCTAAGAAATCTTACTGTTCAAACAGATTTTAGTCAAAAGAACAAAACTATAGGGTAAGGTTACACCTCTGTCCTTTACTAACCTGAATATGCCTAAGTGGTGCTGTTATCAAACTGTTGTGTCTGAAGGAAACAACGATGACAGTTAGTGACTGGTGGTAAAGCTTAAAAGTCCCCCCACACCTTTGCTTCGGCTAGTTTAGACCAGGACTTCTATTTACAGTGGAAGAAGTCATTAGTAGTTCAAATGGCCATATGAAAGGCCATAAAATTAAGCATGCACATAAATAGAGAAACATTATTTAAGGGTATCAACACCTTTCTCTTGAATCAACTTACCGTAAGCCATAGCAAGGCAAAGTGATGAACCGGAACATTGCCAGAAAAACTCTCAAAGGAAGCAGGGTGAATACATACAGAAAAGCATCCAGGCACAAAAAGATTCCAAAAAACATCAACTAAATTATAAAAATAAAACAGAAGTATGTTAGTAGTTTATAAAGAATTATATTATTTCATGAAAAAAACATTTACATAAGACTAATTAAGCAAATAAGCACAATACTCTCACTTGTTCAATCAGCTGAACTGTATGAAAAATAACATGCTATGCACTTGGAAGACCATTCAGCAAAAATTCTGCACCACAAAGTCCAGCAGCAAATGCTTTTGCAGACTTCCACGGCTCACCAAGCTCAGACTTTATTGAACAGATGAATTGCACTTGGAAATAACCGTAGCCTATTTTACAATGGTGATTTTCCTCTAAGATTACAAAACTTAATGATTCTAACCTTAGAAAAAAAAATTTAGAGCTGTGTGTACATATGCACAGCCATTTTCTGCCTATCTCCTTTCTAATACGCTTTTTTTTTTCCAAAAAAAATATTTTTTTTTTTTTTTACCATGTTAATTTTCTATTGAACAGCTAATTACAGCTGTGGTAGTTCTCATACAAAGACTAATGTAAAATACAAAGAGGTAAACTTCCAGTTGCCCTCAGTTTAAATGCTTTATGCTTAATTTACAGAAACAGCTAAAGCCATTTCATTATAGCCACAAGCCAAGCAACTCTATGATAACTAAACTAGACCTAAACTCTGCAATCAGAAAGCTCTAATATACCTAACTCTCCCCACACATGACATTCCTTCTTTATCTGCTCTTTAAATGCATCTAAGATTTACCTGAATGGGGCACTAGCCATATGCTTTTATGCTTCTGTCAGACCAGAAGCTAGTGGGTTTTCCTGCCAGGAGAATCAGGTAAAAAGGCAAGCTTAACTGGCTACACAATTAAGACCAGCAACATCTCTGCAGGCCTAGATATCCGTGGCAGATATGCATTTACATGTGAAGGCTGTATGTATTGCTGATGGGAAAGGAAGACACTGGTTGGGGTGGGGTGTAAACCAAAGCATGTCCCACAATCACTCGGCCTTTCAAAACACCTTCTTTGTCAGCTTTCACAACAGCCAGCTCAATCATCAATGAGCCAATATCATCAATACAAACCTTTCACTCACTCTTTACTCCTCACACACCCTTGCAACTTTGAAAGCAACCCTACAGAGTACACTCCAGTACAGCTATCTGCAAGCCACAGAAGATGACTAACGCAGACATAAGAGCACTGCTGTCATCTCTGAGCTGTTGCTTTCCCTTGTAACACTATTTCTATCAATTGTGCAGTCTGTACTTCAACACCATCACAACACTAAGGTCTCCTCCCTGATATTCACTCATTCACCTCAGTATCATTTCAGCAGAGTTACCATTCAAAATTATCAGTAGTGCTTACAAATAGTGGATGAACTGATGCATTGCATTTTAGCATGCCATTAAGTTACCTACTTCTTTGTTAACTTTTAAACCAGGTGCTGAATATCCAAGGACCGAGGATGACTGGAACTAAACAGCTAAACACGTATCTTCCTTTTTTTTTTTTTTTTTTTAAAAAAACAACCCACCTTAACCCCAGCAAAACAGAACAATAGCCTGTCATTTTGCCCCTGTATTATTTGAGGGCACCTTTATGATCTAGAAAACAACTCTGCATTTTTTTTGCTTTAGACAGACTTTTTCTCTGCCTGAGTGTAATCACTGTTTTTCATATTCTATAAGCGCCTGTCAACATTTGCAATTATTGTTTAATGTCCTCATTTTCCTAGTTTTTTTTACTACATTGTACTTGCATACTTACATGCACCTGTTGAAATACAATTAGCACAACCGTCCACTCATTTCTGTAAACATTATTTTTTGCTGCTACATTCCAGACACTGAGGAGCTAACAGGAAAGCTTACAGACCTTTTCCATCATCATAACTATATTTTAGTAAAAGAACATAACGTTTAATTTTGAGATCAATTGACAAGTGTTCCCTTAAGACAGAAGGAAGAGGGACCATCCCTTTTCACTTAGTATAAACAACCTACAATGAAGAGCTTCCACTGAAACTGCACAAAAAAGCTTGAGTAGAAGTAGCATTTACATTACAAATTACACAGCTTCTCTAAATAAAAAAGGGGTATTCAAAACAACAACAAAACATACTATCCTTTTAACATCACACCCTGCTCTAAAATTATGCACATGTAATGAGTGCATGTTAAAGAATATCTCCTGAGATTAGGCTTTGATAAATTTACTCCAGTTTATTCTCACCCTACCCAATTATGATTTGCATTCTTAGTCTGTAACTACACTGTTAGGTAGTAAACAATACAAGCCATTAAGAAAATTCTTCTCTTCCTTTCCTAGTGTCTCACACGCTTGGTTTCAATTAAGCAGACTTTCAAATCACACAGTCAAGTGATTTCTGGAATAGGTGATGATCTATACACTATTTAGTTTGCTTTCTAGGTGCTCATCATCATACTCTTTCAATATTTTTAACAAGTACGCTTTGATTTGATATAGCTAGTATATATACTAACCCGCACTAAACACATTCAAAGAACTAACATTTATTTCATAATCTCTCTGTAAAAAGATAACACTTTTTAAATCTACCTGCTTATTATTGAGTTTCATATTATTCTTCATTATTCTTTCATATTTGAAGTACAGACTGAAGTTTGATTTACCATACAAAACCCATCAGTTTCACCACTTACAGCATCAACCTTATTTATAAAGGACTGTTGTCCTTCACTTGTTCTAATACACCGAAAGTTTTATTGGAAATCTATGGCAATGATCCTTCAGAATAATTTCTGTGGCTTGGAGACAGCATAGCCTACATAATTACAATGGAGACGATGTAGAACTGCTATATTGTTCAACTGAGACTCTACCATGACTGGAATATTCTAACGTCAACTGGAATGGGTAAACAGTGAGGATGTGAAGATATCATCCCTGGAGATGTTCAAAGACCAACTGGATCTGGTCCTGAGTAACCTGTTGCAGGTCATGCAGCTTTAAGCAAGGGCTTGGACTACAGTATCTCCAGAGATCCATTCCAAACACATTCATTCTGTAATTTTCTGCAGTAACTGACTGGGAACTTAGTTTTGTAAAACCAGGTTTCATCATTGTCCAAGGTCGCATTTAATGATACTGAAGGGGGAACCTGAGTGCTGCTGACAAAGGGAATCCTACTCTCCCTCCCTCTTCCACTGCTCTTTCATCTTCCTACCCCAAGCTATCAGCTCCTCTTCCACCCTTGTGTAGGCTCTGGACTCTCAAGAATATTTTCTGAGCAATCCAGCTCACTATCCTAGCAAAGAACAGAGCAAGAAAATGGAAGCATCCACTGCCAAACTCAGAACAGTCCAACAAGCACCACAGCTCATGCGAAACAGGCAGAATGCATAAAGCGGGAGACTGAAGTGGGAGGAACTGTGAAACAAGGCTCTTCCTTCAATATAAGTTCGTGTTAAATTGATTTATCCCCACCATGTACTTTCACCCCTTAGAGGTTTTGAGAATTTTAGCAAAATTACTTTTAATGTTATCATTACACTGCAGCCTTGCCAAAACTTATTACCAATGTTGCCTTACTTGTCACCCTTGACCATGTTCCCACTGCCTCCCAAATCGTAACAGTTAAGCCAGAATAAAACTCTCTTCTACATTCCAGCACTGGAATTGGCTCATTGCATGGCCAGAATTATATCTAAGCTGACATAAAGAAGGTGGCAGGA